AGACAGCCAAGTTCAGACTCCAAGACCAAGGCAGACAGCCAAAGAACCAGGGCTCTCTGCTGCTTAACGTGGTCTGTTGGGGTAGTGCAGCTGTTTGTGCACTTCCGTGTTCACTCACTAGTTAGTATTGAAGAACTTGTATGTTACTTTCTATGTCCAGGTGGTCCTTCCTGAGTGCTGAGCTGACATTTCCCTCAGGGGTCTCTCAATCAGTATCACTTACCAAGTGCCTATAATGTTCCCAGCATGGTGTGAGATCCTCTGGAAAGAAGAGAGGGTCTGGATTCAGGGTGGCATACTACAGGCATGGACACAGAAACAGGCTTCCATGGTTGAGACCCCTGCTGTGGATAATGTGATAAAGGGAGACCCCTCAGCTCTACATGCCCTACATAATGTGATCAAGAGATGGTCCTGCCAGTTACCAGGGCATAAGCTCCAGTGGCCTTGATGACCTACAGCCTCTATGCCCTGTTCCAGTTCCCCAGCAAAATGCCCAAGGACTTCAGCTTGTTTTTAAAAAAGTATTTTATTATTTTTATTTTATGTGTATGAGTGTATTGCCTGCATGTATGTGAGTGCACCCATATTGTGCAATGCTGCGGAGGTCAGAAGAGGGCTTCAGATTCCCCTGGAACTGGAGTTAAGTACGGCTCGTAGCCGGTCCTCTGCAAGAGCAGTCAGTGCTCTTAACTGCTGGGCCATCTCTCCAGCCCCAGCTTTTTTTTTTTTAAAGGGCCTCTCCCGATCCTTCAGCTCTATAGCAGGCCTGAAGGTGTGTTGGATGAGATGGAGGCTCACAAGGGGCTTCAGCAGGCTTGAAGGACGCTAGCCTCGGTTCCTCCATAGACCAGGTCTCCGAGCCCCTCCTGGTCTGTGCAGACCCCGACCATCTTTCTGGAAGTTCTCTGCTGCCTCCTGGTGGACAGAAAATGTTTATGCCTTCTCTGTGCAATTCTAGCCAGGTAGGGAGTCCAAAGGGCCTAAGTGGTGCCCTAAGTCTGCACACTTCCAGTCATGCCTTATTTCAGCTGTGTCACATGAGTAAGCATTGTCCTGTTTGGAGGTCTAGATGACGAAGCTGAGGCCGGGGTCGGGGGGAGAACTGTCCCCATAGCCCCCAGTAGTCACAGAGGACTGACACTCAACTCTCCAGGCTTGTTCTTTCTCTCTGCCTTTCTTTACTTTACTTATTTCATCCTTCCTTTCTTTCTCTTTCTTTCTTTCTTTCTCTCTCTCTCTCTTTCTTTCTCTTTCTTTTTTCTTTCTTCTTTCCTTTCTCTCTCTCTCCCTCCCTCCTCCCTCCCTTCCTTTCTTTCTTTCCCCTTCCTACCTTCCTTCCTTCCTTTCCCTCCCTCCATTCTTTGTTCTTTTAAAAATTATTCTCTCTCTCCCTCCCTCCCTTTCTTTCTTTCCCCTTCCTACCTTCCTTCCTTCCTTCCTTCCTTTCCCTCCCTCCATTCTTTGTTCTTTTAAAAATTATTTTATTTATTATTTTTATTTTATGCGTATGAGTTTATTGCCTGCATATATGTAAGTGCACTGTGTCATGAAATACCTGTAGAGGTCAGAAGGGCGCATGATACCCTGGAACTGGGATTATGGATGGCTGTTAGCCACCATGTGGGTGCTGAGATTCGAACCCAGGTCCTTTTAAGAGCAGTGAGTGCTCTCAACCACCAAGCTATCTCTCCAGCCCTCTTTCTTGTTTTTGACAGTGTCTCATAGAGCCCAGACTGGCCTTGATTTTGATATGCAGTACCTCGAACTCCCTATCCTCCTGCCTTTACCTTCCAAATGCTGAGATTACAGGTGTGTCATCATGCCTATTTTATGCAGTGCTGCGGATGGAGCCCAGGGCCTCATGCATGCTAGGCCAGCACTCTACTAACTGAGCTATGTTCCTAGCCTGGCTTTGCTCTTGCACAGGATCAGGGAGGAGATGCAAGGTTTCTAACCAACCAGGCAGTGAGAGCCTCAGGTCACCTCACTGATCATGGCATCCTCCTCCCACTCCCCCTGATGGCCCTGAATGGACAGGCTGTCTCCTCACTTGCCTGCTTCCCCTCCAGGCTCTTCCATGGTTCCCATCCTGTCTCCAGTGCCAAGGCTAAAGAACTGAACACCCGAATCAGCCATGGGGGGAAAGCGGGTGAGGGAACAGCCTGTTTAACCCCTACCTGGGCCACAAGCTGAGTGACCTTGAACAAGTCCCCCTCTCTCCCTGCCCTCAGTGTGTTTATCTGGTCACTGAGGTCTCTGATCCCTGCTGTGCTGGACACCTCTGAGGTTCCTGGGTGGGAAGCATCCCCTCCACTTCAAATCATTCTAGAACCCGACTGATCACTGAGGACTCTTGGACCTTTGGGCTTTCTAGTGGAAGTGGAGCCCCTTAGCTTCTACCCCCTACATAGACAAAGAAGAGGGGCTGGGGCCCCAGAAACTGCCTTCCCTCCATCCCTGTAGCCCCTGTTAATGTTTAAAAAGCTTATCAAAGTCCAGGTGGCCTTGACCAGGAGGTTTCTGTGTGCTCTGGTTAATAATCTCAAGAGTGCAAACATTGGGAGCAAGAGGAGGGATGAGACTCCCTCATCCTCTAGCCTCCCCTTCCCCTGCCTTCGCTCAGCAGGATGCACCCTGAGCACTGAGCAGAATCTGAGTATCCCAGGTGCCTAGGGCTTCCCAGCCTGCCAGGAAGGTCGGACAGGCCATGCTGGTGAGCTGCACATAGCCCAGGTAGTGGGGACAGACCCTCAAGTGTGCATGGACTGTTCACTGAGCACTCCCACAAGCATGCCTCTCATGACCTCTCAGTGGGCCCAAGGACCATTTTCTTCTTTAGTTTACAGATTAGAAAAGAGGGATGCTGTCCCCACGCTCCCATAGAACATGAAGTCAGGGTGTCTGGGTTCTCTGCCCTTTCTCTTACTCCATTTTTTTGTTCCCACCATTAACCAAACCATAAAAGACTGAGAAACTGGTCTGGCTTGTGGCTAAAGGCATTTACTGCCAAGTCTGACTACATGACTTCCCATTATGGGAATCCACATGGTGGAAGAAGAGAACTGGCCCTTGCAAATTTCTGTGTGCTCTGGTTAATAATCTTAGACCATGGCACTCATATAACAGCCACATACATTACCGCCCCCCTCAATTTATTTTTAAAAAAGATTGAGAAACTGTTAACACAAAGGAAGGTAACTTCCTCAGAAAGTAAGCCTAGAAGTTGCTGTGTTGAAATGTCTATCATGGCTTTGAGCTTCCTGGCAGCCAGAGAAAAAAGGAAATCCCATCAGTATCCAAGTTCTCTGTTACAGAGCAGAGGAAACTCTTTCATTTGATCTGGGTTCCATCTGGGTCTCACAGAAGGGACACAGCATAGGAGGGTACCCCTGATTCTTCCATGAGCAAGGCTTTTGCTCCCAGGTCTCCCCACTCTAGCAGGGGCTGCTGAGTAGAGGGATGGTCCATGAGAGAAAAGGGCTGGGACTCCTAGGGGTAGAACTACATAAGAGTGAGGAGTCTGAGGTGTGGAGATAACCAGATGTGGGTTTTAAGAAATTCTCATTAAATGGGCTTAGAGAGCTGGCTCAATGGTTAAGAGCACTCCCTGTGGTTAACAACTATCCATAACTCCAGTTCCAGGGAATCAGACACTGTCTTCTGACCTTTGTGAGCACTGCAGGCACATGGTACACTTACATATGTGTAGGCAAAACACTCATACACATAAAGATAAATAAATTAAATTTCCCTTTAAAGTATTTAAATCTAGGGGCTAAGGATGTAGCTTAGTTGATAGAACTCTTGCCTAAGCCCTGAGTTTAATGGCATAAACGAGGCATGGTGTATGCCTATAACTTGTGAGGTAGAGGCAAGAAGATCAGAAGTTCAAGACTAGCCCAAACTACACATCAAGTTCAAGGCCAGCCTGAACAATACAAGACCATTTCTCAAAAAAAAGTTATGTGTTTAAATCTGAAAGCCATTGTATTATCTCCCTAGGGCTACTGCTACAAAATACTCCAAATAGTTTGGCAGAAAACATTCAAATTATGCACTGTCATGGGGCTGGGGTTGGAAGTCCGAGGCCAAAGTATGGCAGAGCTGGCTCCCTCTGGGGCCTCAGGGAAGGATGCTTTGGATCTTTTGCAAGCACCTGGCAGCTTGACTTGAAAGGTATTGCCAGTCTCTGCCTCATAGTCCTGTGTGTCTCTGCCTCAATCTGCCCCCTCCCATGTGCCAGAGACAATGCTATTGCCAACCAGCATTAACACCTGCAGCCCTGTCCCCGGTGCTCTGACCCGGGTACTGATGTGTGCCCCATTCCCTGCTGAGGAAACAGGCAGAGAGGCTGAGCAACTTTCCCAAAGTCACCGTAGCAGGAAGGCCACAGGAAGCTGCCCTTGACCACTGCCAGATGCTCCCCTTTTCAGTAGGGGGTCCATTGGCCAATCAGGTCAATTTTAGGGGACTCAAGACCTGTATCTGTGAACATGGGCAACATCATGGACTTCTGAGGTGGGTGTGGGGGTTAAGCTGGGAAAACAGCATTGCTCAGTGAAGAGACAGCGTCTCTCATTATTTTTGCTGTTATCTCAAAGGCTATGAAAAGCTAAGGGCCAGAGAAAGAACTGGGGTGTGAGGGTAGGATCTTGCTTTGTAGCTGACTTCCCTATGACCTCCAGTAAGTCTCTTCATCTTCCTGGGCCTCAGTTTTGTCATGTGAGAAATGAGTCTAGCCAGGCTGCCCTGTACCTGACTCACTGGCATGAGGTCCAGGGGAAGGACCATCTGCTGCCTGGCTCTCCCAACCCCTGTAGCTCTTGGGGCCATTGGGGGGATTCATGGGAAGCCTTTCTGGGGATTGAGCCCTATTGTGCTTGGACAGTGTCCCTTCAGAGTCAAAACCGTGGCCTCTTCCACAGGGTTGGACCTGGGCTGGGCTTCTGGGATCGATCAGAGCTGGTTCAGGGGCCCTGATTTGCTTTGGTTGAGCAGAGCAAACACCGAGATCATCACCTTCCTCCAGCCCAGTCCCCAGCCTCAGTTTGCAGCTATCCCTGGCAGGGAGGTAGTCTTTTATCCCCACACCAAGCTTCAAGATATCAAAGGCTGAAGAGCCCAGAGCCATGCAAGGTCTTGGGATCCTGCTCTTGCTGCTAACCACCTGCCTGGCCTCCAGGGCTGGTCCTGTGCCAACACTGCCAGACGTCCAACCTCAGGAGAACTTTGATGTGTCCCGGGTAAGGCTGGCCTCTCTGACTGAAGTGGCAATAGTGGTGGATCATCCAGGCTAACGGGCCTGCCTCTCTTGGGATGTCTATCTTCCCATTTTACATGCCACAGCTCCTTTGTTTGGAGTCCCTCCTGGCAAGACTGTTAGGGATTCTGGGATTCACTGACTGGCTCCCTTGTCTACCATTCATTTGAGAGTCTGTGAGCCCAATATCCTCCAAGTTTACCCTGTCCTCACGAGCTTCCAGGGTAATTCAGACATGGGGTCGCCCCAGGTGGGCATACACCTGTGAGCTTTAGGGCTGGCCTATGAGACTGAGAAGAATAGAAGCAGGACACAGATTGATGGGGTGGGGGGGGTGGAGTCGACTGTGAGGGGTGAGCCCAGGGGCACCCTAGCCTGGGCACTGTGTCTGTGTGTCTGTGCATGTATGCACATATGCATGTGTGCATATGTCTATGCGTGCACATGTACATGTGCATCAGTACATATGTATACATGCACACATAACCACATATATGCATGCATTTATATGTGTGAACCATGAACATGTGCGTACATGTATATCTCTGTATGTATTGACATGCATGTGTGCATATATGTATGTGTGTATTCATGTATGCGTGTACTATGTAGCTGGTGACCTCAGAATGAAGGGCTTGGACCCTGTCTGTCCACAGGAGTGACCAGGTGCCTTGCTTCTGTACAAGTAAGCCTTGTGTAGAGCAAAGGCACTCTGTACCCACCTGCCTAAGCGTGCGGTTCCCTTAGCTCCACTGTCAGTCTTGAGGCTGCCTGTTAAAGAGATGGCCCTTGGGAGGAGAGAGGAGGAAAGGTGAGCAGGTCTTCTCTGAAGCCCAGGCAAATTCAGACCCCAGTTTATGGCTCTTCCTAGATCTATGGGAAATGGTTCAACCTGGCCGTGGGCTCCACCTGCCCATGGCTGAGACGGATCAAAGACAAGATGAGCGTGAGCACATTGGTGCTGCGAGAGGGGGCCACAGAGGCAGAGATCGGCATGACCAGCACCCGCTGGCGGTGAGTCGGGGGAGCGGGATGGACCAGGGCCCCCAACACCCAACCTTGTCTGGGAAAGCACAGCTCTCTGCTCCCAGCCAGGACCTTGCCTTCGATACTGTCCTCCCACACACAGATGTCCTGTGTACCTGTCACCCAACACTGAACCTGTTGTACAACCTGCTCCTCCTCCTCCGTGTTCCTCAGGTTAGGAAGAGCACCACTACCCCAAGGGACCCAGCCTGAGAGCCTGTTCTTTCCTCCTGCTGACCATGAAGATCCACCCGTTTTCCTAAACCCCTCCCACATCTCACCTCTCTCCTCCGTGTCACTGAGGTCCAAACCTTCTTCCTTCCTTCCTGATTACCTCCCACACCTCTTCTACTTCTCTCCCCACATTCAATCTCAGTTTTTCTCTCCTATCCATTCTTGACCCAACAACCGAAATACCTTTCAAAAAGTCATACCTGCTTAAGAGCCTTCCATGGCTCCCCGCCACCCTCAGGAGGGAGAGTGAAATCTTGATGATGCTTTCTGGGCCTCTCTGCTCCACCTCTCTGCTCCAACTCTCCCTTGGGCTCTGTGACCCTCTGCAGCAGATCTTGAGGTTCCAAGAACCTTTTACCCTCTCTCACTTCCAGACGTTTGCACATCTCCCTACCTCCCTGGCCTAATTCTGAGTCCTTAGGTCTTTGGTTCTTTGTCATCTCCTCCAGAAAGGCCCTCTGGACCCCCAGAAGACCACACGGCCTCCTCCGAGTAGTGTTTCTGCACATAAATCTGAGTAGATTGATTACATATGACTCTGGTTAGGCTGCCTGGCCCATACCATTGCAAGCCCCACCGAAAGACAGTACTGTCTTGGCTCTTCTCTGTGTCCCCAGCATGTGGGAAAGTGCTTGCTGCCTTTTTTTTTTTTTTTTTTTTTTTTTTTTTTTTGCTGGCACTGGACAAGGCCGGATCATGTAGCAGAGGAGCCAGCACACTGCAGCACTTCCCCTAATTTACATGCAGGCTCAGTGATCCCACCACAGTCACAAATAAATGAAAGTCCCGCATTGGTTCTCACTGCCCTCCCTGGACATAGGGTAACAGATATGAGGAAGGACTGGGACTTTGCCACTCAGTTTGCTTTTCTCTGTGCCTTGTGTTAAAAGGGGGTCTCCCATGGCTAGGGTGAGCATTGAAGGGGATGTTTGGAAATGTTCATATCCAAATCAAGACAAAAAAGACAACAGGGCATTTTGGCTTGGTCATTGCCAGGAAAGGCGTCTGTGAGGAGACCTCGGGGGTTTATGAGAAGACAGACATCGCTGGAAAGTTCCTCCACCACAAATCCAGTGAGTGTGGGAACATGCCTCTGTCTCCTTTCCCTGTCTCTGCCCCCTCTGTCCCTGCAACATTTCCGTTTAGCTGAAAAGTCATGTACCATCCTCAAAACACACCACCTCTATCTTTGCCCTGCATGGCGCCTCCCATCACCTCATCTTCACCCTGCATGGCACCTCCCATCACGTGTCCAGAAGTAGGAAGGAGAGGTGCTGAATGTGGGGGATGAGGCCCACAGTGGGCTGTGGGCCTGAATATATTCACAGTTCAGCAAATGCCTGCTGAATCTGCTCTGCATGCTGAATCATTGCACGTGTGTGAGATGAACATATCAATGTTTGGCAGATGGATGGATGATCAACATGAATGAATGAACAAAGTTTCACTTATTAGTGAACAGATAGATGGATGACACATGAGTTGATTAGTCAGTTGAAAGACAGGTTGACAGACTGATAGAAGGAGGAAGGAGAGAAGGGAGGAAGGAAAGAAGGGAGAGAGGGAGGAAAACTGGACAGGGTGCTGTATGCTTGTAATTCCAGCTATCAGGAGGTAGAGGAGGGACGATCAGAAGGTCAAAGTCATCTTCAACTACATAACAGCTTAGAGGCAATCTTGGGCTAAAATAGATTCTGCCTCAAAAAAAGAGAAAGGAATGAAGATGGAACAGAGGGAGGGAGGCAATGGGGAAGGAAGGGAGGGAGGAAAGAAGGGAAGGGGAGAGAGGAATAGAGGGAGGGGGAGGAGAAAGAAAGGAATGAAAGGTGGAAGGCAGGAAAAAGGGAGGGAAGGAACGAGGGAAGGAGGCAGGAAAGAAGGAAAGGACAAACGGTGGACAGATGGAGAGGGGGTGGATGAGTTAATGATGACTAACAGGAGGAGAGAGAGAGGCTGAAGTGGGTGAGCTGTCATGTGAGCACAAGGAAAGGCTGTGTGGCTGTATGAAGTGACAGGTGATGGACCTCCAGGTCGAAGAGACTCTGACCACCGATCCCTTCTGTTTGCCTGCATCTCCTACACAGAATGGAATGTAACCTTGGAATCCTATGTTGTCCATACCAACTATGATGAATATGCCATTTTCTTCACCAAAAAGTTCAGCCGCCACCATGGACCAACCATTACTGCCAAGCTCTATGGTAATAGCCGTAACAATGAGCCTGCAGGAGCTGGGGTGGGTAACTGCTCATTTATGGACCATGGAGTAGAGGGGCAGGAGGCTTGCTTTTTCTTTGTGAAAGAACTCTAGGAAAGGGACAAGGGTGCTCTCCCTGAGGAGGAGGAACTCAGCTTCCTGGATGAATAGGACTTCCGTTTCATCTCTGAAAGCAACTCCAAGGTCTATGGAGACGGCTCAGTGATTGAACCCATATAAATGCCAGGTGGGCAGGCCACCCTCCTGTAATTCCAGCATTGGAAGGCACAGACAGGTGATCCCCAGAATGAGCTGGCTAGAGAGACTAGCCATATTGTTGATCTCTGGGTTTGATTGAAAGATCCTGCCTTAATGAGTAAGGTGTAAGAGCGATCAAGGATGATTCCCCAAGTCTCCATGTGCACACATGCGTATATCACACACATACATGCATACCACACACACACACACACACACACATTAAATGGAAAAAGAGAAGGATAAAATGAGTGCAGAGCCTCCAGGGCCTGGATAGAGCCAGTGGCAAGAACCTTGTGTGTGGACCCAGAAGGTCTAAGTGGGGTCTTGGGGGGAGCTTTCTCTTTCTGGGGGAGTCTTTTTTCCAAAGCATGTCAAAGGAGGGTTGGCGTTGGCTCGTTTCCACACTTCCCACTGGGTAAAGTCACCCTGGCTGGCCAGCCCGGGTACCTGGAGGCTCTTACAACATCTCCTCTACAGCCCGGGAACGGCACCTGAGGGACAGCCTTCTGCAGGACTTCAAGGACATGGCCCTGGGTGTGGGCATTGGTGAGGACTCCATCTTTATCATGGCTGACAGAGGTAAGTGGCATCCTGCCCCACACTGAATTTAGCTCCTCTCCCCATCCTTCCTGGCCACCAGAGGATGGCCTGTATCTTTCTTCTGATAGGGTGAACAGTCCCTTGCCCCTTTATGCAGACTCACAGAACCCTGGGTTTGCCCCATCTCACAGCATGCTCTGGTGGAGACAGCTCCTGAGCCAATTCCATGCTCATCCAAGGACCATAAGTCTCAGGGAGGGTGTAGCCCAGCCCACAGGAACAGTTGAGGGGGCTCAAAGATCTCTGCCCTCCTAAGCCTGGGCCTCTTCCTCACTCTTCTCTCCTGTCCTCTGTCTAGGGGAATGTGTCCCTGGGGAACAGGAGTCAGACCCCACTTCACTTCCGGTGAGTACCTCTTCCACCTTCCGCAGCAGCACTGCCACAGCATTCTCTGTACTTACGGCTGCTCGGCCTGTTGGGGTAGATGCAAGGCATTTAGGGCATTTCTTTACAACTATAATTTCTAGCATTTCAATTCCCTTCTCTTTGATGGGAATGATCCTATAAGGAACTTTTTTTTTCCAGGAAGAAATATACAAGTGACAAATTTCTAGATGGTTTCCCTAGCTTGGACTACCTTTCTGTGTTTCTATCACACGGGCAACAGTTTGGGGGAAGGAAGAATCTTGGATTGCAACCTTTTCCTTCTCAGGACCCTCAGAGATTGCTCCTGGGCTTCTGTTATTGTGTCATTTACCCTGAGGGCCACCAAGTTCCTTGGCCTTTGTCCATGGAATGTCTGTAGGAAGGAAGTCTCCATAAATTCTGATTTCCTTTTTCCTCATAATTGGGCAACTCAAGTCTTTCTTCAATTCAAAAAAGTTTTCTTCTATTATTTTTATGCTTCTTTTTTTTCTCCTCCAGGACTCCTGGGTTGTGGATTTATTTCCTGCAGTATTTATTTTTAAATTTTTATTTATTATTTTTACTTTATGTGTATGTGTGTAATGCCTGGATATGTCTAAGTGCACCCATGTTGTGCAGTCCCCGAGGAAGACAGAAGGTGTCAGATCCCCTGAAACTGGAGTTACGGACAGTTGTTAGCTGCCATGTGGGTGCTGGAATTCGAACCCCAGTCTTCCACAAGAATAACCAGTGCTCTTAACCACTGAGCCATCTCTCCAGCCCTCCTGCAGTATTTAAATAGCAGCTTATTATCTCTCCTGGGAGATTAAACCAAGCATCTTTCCCATCTCTAATGATTTCCATCACTGTTGGCTCCCAATATATTGGTGCATATCATTTTGAATTTTACTGGTGGCTAAGGATTTTCCTGTTTCTTAATATCATCCTTGTTAAGTGGGACTATTTCTTCAGTTCAATCTGATTCTTCTTGGCAGCTGTGTTATCTAACATGTCCCTTTGTTATCCATCCCTCCTTTCTTACTAAGAAAGCCCCGAGTGCCATTAACTTAAGATGGATCTGTAAGAGATGGGGGTGGGGTTGGGGGAGGGCTGATAGTTTTCAGTTGCACCTTATAAGAAGGAACGTTCAGTTACACCTTAAAAGAAGGAACCATTTAAGATCACCACCTTCTACCTTTCCAAGTTTTAGACCTCACTTGTGGGCAGAAAGGCTACCTAGTGGCCAGCTGTCCCCCTATTCATCCCTTTTCCAAATTGGCCTGTCCCGGGGGACTCTGCAGCAGACCCCTCTCTTGGGCACTCGACCATGTGATGCCCTTTCTAGAATTCAGGTTGACACACCCGCTAACAGTCCTGTAAGCAGTCTAGAAGCTATACTTCTCTCTGCCGAGTCCCAAGATGAATGCTGTTTACACATCCTGGGGTTCAGGTGAGCAATAACGGTGAGGTCTCTGCAAAGCTTCTCTTCTCTCCTCAGAGAGTCCGGAGAGCGGTGCTGCCCCAAGAAAGTGAAGGATCAGGGGCTGGGCCAGTGGTAACCGACTTTACCAAGAAAGAAGGTAAGGAGCCTATCTCTTTACCTGCTTCTGCCATGTTGAGCCATGGCCCATGGCTGGCTTGCCTTGGCTGCCTCAACAGTGAGCTCTGTCTCTTGGCTAGAGAGTCAAGGGCTGGGCAGAGACAAGGCAAATGAAATTCTCTGCCATGCTGGGATGAGGAGTGAGGCACATCAGGCATGGTCCTGGTTTTAAGAATGCTGAGCTCTGCCACGAGGAGTGTATCTTGTCCTGCCTGTGTGGCTGTGAAGCCTTGGTTTTCTCAGCTATACAGTGGAATAACTGGGATGACCTTCAGAGTGTAGGGATTCTTCAGGGAGAAAAATGTGATGATGCTTTGTGTGAGCCATTCACTTACCCACCTTGATCAGCAAACACAAATGATCCTGATCTTCTTGGTTTTAGGGCTCTTTTAGTGGAAAGTCTTCCAAGGGAGAAAGTGGTGGGTTCAAAGGAGAGTGTTGGCAAAGGGCTGGAAAACCCCAGAAGATGATGGGGGTGATCAGGCCACTTCCTAGGCCAAAGGAATTCAGGCTGTGTCCAGGAACCCAAGGAGAGCTTTGTGGAGCAGGGCATTCTGGGGTAGGGACCATGAGAGCAAAGGCATGAGTGGTACCTCAGTGACGCGCTCAGGTTGGCAGGTGAGGGCCTGGAGGATGCATCATCAACCACGATATTAGATTCTCTGGTCAGAGAGGCCTTTGCACCAATGGTAACTCACCACTCCTCAGTTATGGGTTTAATAGGAATTGGGCTTGGCATCTATAGGTTTATATTTTAGTTCCAGGTGGTTCTGACCAGTTGCTTCACCTCTCTCAGGGTAAAGGTTAGGAACACCTGCCTCTCTTTTGAAGGATGAGCTGACAACCCTTCTTGTTGGTGTGGAGGTGAAAACTACAAGATATGGTGCATATTAAGTTGTATACAGGTATACAGCAAGCCCTCTGTAAGTGCTGCATTTTTTCTCTTCCCAGATTCCTGTCAGTTGAAATACTCTGAAGGCCCCTGCCTAGGGATGGTAGAGAGATACTTCTACAATGGTGCATCCATGGCCTGTGAGACTTTCCAGTATGGGGGCTGCCTGGGGAATGGCAACAATTTCATCTCTGAAAAGGAGTGTCTCCAGACATGCCGAACAGTGGGTGAGAACAGCCCTGCACCTGTGCCCTCCACACCCCAGTTCCCATCCTCTCACGGATCACCTGCCCATGATCAGGAGCTGAGCGATTTTCCCAGAGCAAGGTTGTTCATAGGACTTCCACATCTAGATATGGATGGCCCTAGGCCACTCATTTTTCTGGACCCCAGTTTCCCAGTCTCTAAAAAGATAATGTGCTCTAGATGTACAGATTCTCCTGGTTTAGTAGTCCTGTTCATGTCCCATCAGTAGTTACAAGGGTAACTAACACTCTGTATCCCTCTCTGCTCCACAGCGGCCTGCAATCTCCCTATAGTCCAAGGCCCCTGCCGAGGCAACATGAAGCTCTGGGCTTTCGATGCTGTAAAGGGGAAATGTGTTGAATTCATCTATGGGGGTTGCCAAGGCAACGGGAATAAGTTCTACTCTGAGAAGGAATGCAAGGAGTACTGTGGAGTCCCTGGTGATGGTAGGAGGCTCTGGGGCTGCCAGGGACCAGGCAAGGGAATCCTGATGTGGGGTAGGGACTGAGAATTGAATTCTGGATCTTCCAAGTGAGCAGCCTGACCAACTCTGGGCCTCAGCTTCCTACCTGGTAAATGAGCCTAGCCCAGGGCCATGCCCTAGCTGGGCTTAACTACCAGAGGCGATGTGAGCCAGGCACCAGCAGAAGCACATAGAGCAGCTGAGGAGTTGGGCAGAGCTGGTCTCCAGACCCTTCAGGGTCGCCACAGAGCCAAGGGGGCTCCCTCCCCAGGCTTGGAATTGAAACTGGGGCCTGTCACATGCTAGGTCCTGAGCTACACCCCCAGCCCATTTTTTAATGTTTTTTTTTGGGGGGGGGCAGGGTCTCATTAAGTTGCCCAGGCTGCCGTGAACTTCCTCTGTAACCTAGGCAGGCCTTGGTTTATGGTCTTCCTGCCTTAGCTTCCCGAGAAGCTGGGATTATAAGCCTATGCCACCAGGCCAGACCCAAAGAGCAATTAGATCACTTTTCACTTCTGCAAAACAGCACAAACTACCCACCTACCTGACTTCACAGTACCTAGTGTGGGTTAGTGCTCAACTGAGGGAAGCTGCTGCTTATAAAAATAACCAGGGTGTATTCCCATTGAAAAATGGTACCTATGGCAACCCAGAGGAGGCAAAAAGCCAGAACATTCTCTGGAATGCCCATGGGAGAGAGGTCATTTAGCAAGTGATATTTTGTCCCTGCCCATGCACCCACCCTGACTCTCTCTGTATCCACAGGGGATGAGGAACTGCTGCGCTTGTCCAACTGAAGGCTCTGGTCTGCAAGCCAGAGAGTGGCCACTGTTCACGTCCTAGTGCAGGCTGGCTCAGGTGACCTAGAACCAAATAAAACCAAACTGTCAACTCCTGGCATTCTCTGTCTTGGAAGCTCATTCGTACTGTATTTTAATGAGGGGACAAAAGGGGAAGAGGAAACTGGTGGCATGAGTACCCAGCCTTCCCAGAAAGGAGGCAGGACTTGCAATGTGACAGAACTTCCTTTAGTACAAGACACTGGCTGTGCACAGTACAAAACAGTACTTGTTTCTGGAAGAGGTTGAACGGGGGTCATGGAGATCCAGGGTCAAAGTAATAGTGGTGCCTTGGTACCTTAAGTGCCCCCCCATCCTGGATGCACCTGACTCCTCTACAGTAGATTCTTCTGGCCACTGTCATATCCCCTTTTCCATCCCAAGCTGCCTTATCTGTTGTTTTACCACCTTTAACAGAAAATTTATTACGTTTATTTTATGTGTGTGAATGTTTTGCCTGCATGTATGGGAGTCACCTGTGTCATGCAGTTCCCATGGAAGTCAGAAGAGGGTGCCAAATCCCCTAGAACTGGAGTTATAGATGGTTGTTAGCTACCATGTGGGTGCTGGGAACTGAATCCTGGTCCTCTGCACCACCGAGCCATCTCTCCAGCTGTTTTTCCATCTTGACCCAGAGCACCTATCTCCTGGGGTCCTCATCCAGCCCTCTGTCCTGTTAGGACACTGTCTACCCCTCTTCCCAATGCATCCATGGCAACCAGCTGAGTCCTGGACCAGAGTCTAAAGTACTAGGCTGGCCTGGCTTTTCATGTGGGAAAGAGGAGGTAGGTTGGCTAGGATGGCTTGAGGACCAGCCAGGCTCATGACTGTGACCCCAGGAGCCTGCTGTAACAGTCTTGTGCTAACTGCACTCACCCAGAGCCCTGATGATGGGCGGATGCTGAGAAGAGGGTTAAGATTCCCAGCTCCATAGGCTCCCAAGTGGAAAGCAGAAACCAGGCAGGGCCAGCACTCTGGTCAGCAAACACAGTCCCAAATGTTGGTGGCCAGTTTGGCCAAAGGTTTGCCTCTCATGCCTTTAACCCATTTGCTGAAGAGCTCTGTCAGGCAGGGAAGGATGAGAGTGTAGAAAAGTCTACAGTCCCCTCAGACACATAGACTCCTTTTTTCTCTCTACAGCTTGAAGCTTTTCATTTCCAACAAAGAAGACTGTCTGTTCCAAGGGACAGTATTTGTAGTCATAGCCCCAGGCAGAAGTGGACAGGTTAGGAGCCACTAGACAGACAGGCAACTGCTCAGAGGGAAGTGCTGAGAAGATCCACCAGCTGGGTCTAATTGGCATCTTGACCTACATCCATCTGGTTGTCCTCCATGCACGCCACACACCAGGACGAGTGGCCCATGGCAGTTTGAAAGTACCACTTTGAAGAGGGTTATTGTCAAGTTGCCCGAAGGACAAATGTTTAATGAGAGGATACAAGTTTCCAGTTCCCACCAGTGGATGGAATATCAGGCTCATGGGGTAGGCTTCTCAGTTCCTTGTTTTGAGAAAAGACCTCTCTGTGTAGCCTAAACTGGCCTTAAACTCATGAATGATCCCCTTGCTTCTAGCTCTGCGATGCTGGAATCACAGATGTTGGTCAGGTTCCTCAGTCGTCATGGAAGGAACACACCAGGCAGGGGTTCCGGGCTGTCTCTTAAGGATGCTCTAACTTGTGACTCACTTGCTTTTTGTCTGTCCTGGAGGCATCTGACTCTGTAACTTGGAATGAGGCCTGCCTGCCTGTGACCCCATCATGGGACTCAACCATTCATCTCATAAGGCCCCAGGAATCATTCCCTGCCAAGGGGAGGCCCCTTCCCTGAAGATTCACAGAGCTCTTCAGTCTTACTTCAAGTTTTTCTTTTAGCTATTACCACACAGGTTTACTTGCTTCAAAACAGATGTGACTGCTCCATAAACACCTTCTTAAACCGTAGTTAGATTCAGAGGCTTCAGACCACCCTTCAGTGGCGAGGGCCCTGCAGACGTGTCCTGGCCCTATTTGATCTTCATGGCCAAGAGCATGCAGGGTCCTCAGACTCTGCTCAGTTGTCATGGACCCTGAGGCCCTCCTGCCCTTTTGCTTTAGATAAGGAGAAACTCCTGCATCAAACTTTATCTACTGGCAAGGGGATGCCCATAGTCCCCTCAGAGAAGCTCCTGTAGGACATGCCTGGAGGGCTGGAGGGCAGGGCTGCTGCCCTCTGGGCAGAGGTCAAGTGTAGAGCTGTGGCCTGCATACAATTTGATGGAACTTTTTTCAGAAGACTCAACTGACTTCTTAGAGCCACTCATCCATCCCTGGTTAGGGACACATGCTAAGTCCAAGGTAGGGAGGGGGTCTGTGCGTCACTTACCTGGAGCACATGAGGGCGGCTTTATTGTGATGGGCTCTAGGCAGGGTCTGCCTTAGGAGCTGTCCCTTCTGCACAGGCCATGGTTCATCTTCTGGTGAAGTCTTTTCTCCCTCGACTTTGGTTTGAGTCTATGAAAGAAAAGCATGGATGTCCTTGTGTTTGTGACATCAGGCTCTGGGTGAGTGGCCAGGGTGTGTCTCCCACAGCTCATGAAGAAGGGCAACCACGCCTTCAGGAATTGGGTGGAAGTCTTTCTCAGGAGATTTGATACATATGACAGGTGTAGACACACACCTTGTGTGGGAGACCCTGATCACTGGATTAAAGGGTCTAAGAGGCCCAGGAATGGCTGCAGAGCCAGGCGTGCTTGTATGTGGACCTTAGACATTGGGCTGGCAGAACTGCTTAAATTCATCCCTTCTCCCAGGAACAAGCCTCTACAACCAGCCCCCAGGGGATCATGACTTCCCTGGACACCTCCTTCCCCCATCTATCAAGCACTGGCTGAGCCACATCTGCACTGGTGACAACCAATGACCCTTAGATGAAGAGTGGCACAGATGAAGCCACCTTGGTGCCGACCTCTGTTGCTCTCCTTACCCATCCTCTGCATGGTGCTGTGGTAAGTGGATAACATGGCCCAACCCCAACCCCAAGAAAAACACCACACACCAGAGGTCCCTAAAGGTCATTTTATTGTAAAACCATAAATACAACACTGACATGAACTCATGAACTCGCTTAGGCGACTGATCCTCTAGTTGTTAATTATGTCTCTTTGCCTTGGCATCAACCAACTGGGAAATGGCTGGGGAGGGGTTAGGTACTGAACCTTGGCTGGGGCTTTTGGTGATTTGAGGAACCTGATGGAACCTTCCTCGTCTCCTTGGGAATGTTCCACTTTTGGACAAGAACAGACAGGTAAAAACAGCAACATTTAAACAGCTCAGTTTTAAATTTTATTACTTTTGTAAAAATCTTTTTTTTTTAAATTTTCTGTTCCTTTCCTCCATTTGACATCAGTACAATTTTTAAACATCATGAAATTGATTTGGCTGTAAAACAGCAAAACGGTACCCAAACCAAAGAAAAACAAAACAAAAAAACCCAAAAGACACACAGAAATCCCTAAATAAACCCTCAAGTTTGGCCTTGGGGGTTTATGTATCACAAGAATCGTCAACTCAACCCCATGCAATGTGCCTCCTTGGAGGATGGTTGGATCCATACCAACAACACAGGAGACCGCCAACAACGTCTTTGTTAATTAACACAGCAAGAGTGACACTAGGTAACTTTTTTTTTTAAATACAGTACATGGTACACAGGGTCCCTAAGATGGCCCTGCATAAACCCCCGTGAAGACTTGAGCCAAGCACTGGCTGTTTATAAAAATATTGTGTTGCTACAAAAGTATAAATTAATGCTACCGGTATTAAGAAATATTAAACACATAAAACTTATAAGGATTAAGAAAAATATTCATTAATACCTGTAGAAAACTCTGGCCTAAAAAAGATATTTTTTTGTGTGTTTGCTTTTTTGTAAATTTTTTTTGTGTTTTTAATTTTTTTTAAGATGACTTGAGTTTCTTGCACTTGAAGCAAGACACAGATGTGTCCATGGTATTGCCTAGAATGTCTTTACTACTGAGAAAGAATGGGGGCGCACGCACATGGTCACTGAGTAGGAGAGTGGGAGGGATGGGGCACCAAGGCTTTCTCAAGATTTACCTGATGTGAAAGGATCACCGATGTGAAGTTGTGGGGAAAAGAAAAAGGCAGGATCAGAAAACAACTGAAAATAATTTATGCCTCTTAAAAAATATCTCTGCATGGGGTTGTTGTACAAAAAGGTTTCCTGATGCTTGGGGTCTAAAGGACTCTCCTGCAGGGCTCTCACTCTTTCCTGGTTGGCCAGGAGCTCAAGCCCTGGTTGGGAAGCCATCCACTCTGGCTGGTTGGGGAAAGGGTCCTAGGAGAGTCTATTGGCACCTGGTTTGTGGGAGGAGCCCTCCTTCTAGCTGGCCTTGGACTCCCTGGCCTGTGCCAACAGAGAATTCAGGCTGTTCCATGGGAATTTAGGAGGCGTCACAGGAATCCAGGCCCCTGAGGTTGCAGACAAGGCCAGGCTGTGCCCCTTTAAGGAACTTTGGTTCAAAGACTCAAGGTATCCAGTGGGATGTTTGGGTGGGTAGGACCCTTGGGGGTCATGATGCTAATGCCCAACTGTAAGCTTAGGGAATTTCCAGTACAGAGTGGAACCTTGAATGTGACACCCTCCTCCAAGAGCAGCCTCATACCCGCTTAGCAACCTTGGTCAAAGTCAGGTCTCTCCAGACCACTATCCTCAGATCCAAATGAGAGAGGGGGGGAAAAAAAAACCCTAAAACAACTACAGCAACAAAATTCCCCTGAAAACCCTGCAAAGGGAGACTAGGAGGGAAACATAAGTGGGAAACACTGTATCATTGGTTCACCATAACTGGCCTAGCAAACATTAGCCACAGTGAAGGGGAGGGGCAACCTCTGTGCCAGTTCTCCCGCTGCCTTGGGGACAGGAGCTCCTGTGCATGGCCCCCAGCATGTCGCCTGAGCCTCAAGTCTCTTAGTTATGCCTACTAGGAGCCTTCCTCTAGGTACGAGCTGGACACAGTGCTGTCATACTGTTCCCAAGGCCAGGGGATGCTGGGGGCTTGGCAAAGCTTGCGGGGTGGAAGAGGTTGCCCTCTGTGTATGACATGAGATCTGGATGGTGACTCACAGGGCCTCCCTTCTCCATCTACATCCCAGCCTCCCCTGAGCTGCCTGCTGACACTGTGTCCTCAGAGTATGAGGACTCTCCCCAGGTGTCCCTATCTCAAGCCCAAGGCCAGGGGAATAAGAGGCCTTGCTTAAGAACAGGGAGCTCCTAAGGCAGAGATTTGGCTTCACAGTGGAAAACACGCCTTGTAGAATTCTGTTTCTTCAAAGTGCAGGCTATAAAATCTGAAACTGAAGAGAGGGTGCAGGCCAGTCCACAGCCATGTCCAGAATCCTTCCTAGAACCCTGGAGGCCCATGACTTTTCATCAATGTCCCCAGCTGCCCTTCTCTTCTCTCCAGGAAACAGGTGCCTGTCCCTCATCCAAGGGCCAACCTCACAAAGCCAAGGTGAAGCCACCAAGTGGGATGGTGGTGACCTCGCTTGTGCAGTTGGTAGCTTCTTGTGCTGGGAACTCCCAGGGATGAAGTGCAGAGTTCTGCTCAGGCAGGGCCTGTCCTTCTTCCTGGTTTCTGAATGTGCCATGAAAGAGAGGTCTGGCAGGTGGACTTGGGTGCTGAGATCAGAGGAATGGTGCTGGGACCAAGCTGTTTCCATCCACCATCACTCCTCACAGACCTGAGACCTGGGCTACTCCGAATCTGAGGTAGCCCTCGATGTTGCAGGGCTTGGCTTGAGCTTTGTTGGTGAAAGAAAATGACCCCAGACAAGGGGAAAATCCTGCTGAGTAGACGTGATTTTTTTTCCACCTCTCTGTTTTGGTTCATGGATGTTGAAGCAAAGGCTATTTTCATTCAGGGAATCACACAGCTCAAGGCAAGCTGTATCTGAGTTAGTGGTGAGAGCAGGACAGAACGGCCCAGCTCCCTGCTCCCCTAGCCCCAAAGATGTGATGCAAAGATCTACATAGGCCATAGGAAGACAGATGACAAAAATCCTTCCAAAGGTCAAGGCCAGGTCAGGCCCCTGGAGATGGTCTCAAAGAGCCTGTCTCAGTGCTTTGGCTGAACTAGAATTTGGTAAGGTGGATATTGCTGTATTGGTACCTACGGCTGGACCCGGGAGATCTTTGGGTTTTTAACTGATCTGCTTGTTGCAGATTTACACCGTGGGGAGTGCCTGCATGGGAGCAGACATGAGGGCACCGAGTACAGCCTTTCCCGTTGATAACACTCGCTTCCAGGGGAACCAGAGGTTGCAAGACAGAAATGATTGACAGCCTGCTGCCTTACAATCTGTGAGGATGAGACAGCTTAGGGGACAGGTTTCTGAGGATGTAGTAGGATTCACATTAAACCTGCAGAGGCAAGCTAAGCCCTAAGTATCAAATTGAGGTGCAAAAGAACTGGGCAGGAGGTGGCAACCTGTGACCAGGTGCCTGGAGTTTAACACAACTTTTTCTGTCTGGAGGGCAAACATCCTGTGCTCTAAAAAGAATGTATAGGGCTCAAACTGCACATCTGGGCTTGGCCTGTTTTCTATTCACTGGCCTGGTAATAGCAGCCCAGGCCAGCTCTGCTGCTGGGCAAGGCAGGATGGATGCCGTGGTTTCGTTGTTACCAACTGCAGTAAGAACCCAGCTTCTGGGGTGGCTACGGGTGCCAGGTTGTGGCAGCAGCGGAACAAGGCCGGAGGTACCACCATCAGCTTTCCAGAGCCCACCTTCTGGAATGCCCTGAGAAGCCTGATGACGTTCCCACATTCTCCAAGGAGCGATCTTGGGTTTGTTCCTGTCTGCATTTCTCCACTGTGGACAGAGGCTCTTCTGATGGTGAGACCCAAGTTGAAGACATCACGATGGAAATGCCTAGAACTCCATCAGAAGTGGAGACAATACGGTGGTTCCTGAGACTGTAGCTTGCTGGAGGGCATGTGGACACAGCCCATCCACTCTGATCTATCTGTGTGTCTGAGACTGCAGGAGAGTTCGATTAGTTATTGTGAGGCCAAGTGTTCAGGCTTAGCTCAAGAGGACAGTGTTCTAGAACTGCAAACATGACTGGAGAAGTCTCCTCTGAGTCCTTAAACCAACTTCACTCCCCTCCTGCTGGGGCCCCAGGGGAGGGTTATGGTACAGTGCTTTTGTAGTCGAGGTATCTCGCAGTTGAGTAATGCTTTATGACTGGACAGTCGGGGGAACCCAAGCCCCAGGTGGCTGAGGTGCTTTTGCAAATGGCCCACAAGGGTGATCATTCTCAGCCTGAGGCATTAAGCATCCCTAGCCCACAGCTGCGGTCACTGGAGGGCCCGGGGACCCCAAGTTCTTTATTCACAGAGGCGGGAGCATCAAGGGCTGAACTTCATTTGTGAAGAGAACATATAGACAGTATGTAGAAACACTTGCTCCTGACCAAGGTGGTCAGGAGTGAGGCCTGAAGACCCCTTTCACAGCATTGAGTCGAGTGCACCCACCCACAGGATGCCCACTGTTCAGCCAACAATGTACCGTGCTCCACTGCTGCATGACTGGAGGTCTGAGGTGCCTGTGAGGACCCCTGAGAGATATGATCCCCCTGGGGCCTGGGGATGGGGAGAGACTATGGGTCTGGCAGATGCAGATATGGACCAAGTCTTGAGTCCCTGTGGATCTGGAGGTCAGGGTGTGGTGAGGGGGTGCAAAGCAGTCTGGGTACAGGAGGTGGACATTCGCAGGTACTACATGTGGGTAACAGGCAGGGCTTTCCCACTGACATTCAGGACCCCTAAGCCACATGCTGCCTGAACAACTTCCACCAAGCCTCACAGCCAAGGAACCCTGACTCCTCCCCACCCCCGACTCCACATGGCACAGACATGACCTGAATCCTGAACGCCACTGAGATGAGCTAGTTTACAGTGTGACTTGGGGACAGAAAGGGTCAGTCAAACAAACAAACAAACAAACAAATAAAACAAAACTTCAGAACATAAGTTACAGACATAGACATTCAGTGCCTCCTAGCAGAGTCTAAATCAAATGTGAAAAAAACTCAACCCCCTAAAAAGGTAAAAATTGCTAAAATGTTGAGGAAAAAATGGAGTGGAGACAGTTATCTATACTCTGAAAAAAAAAGTCTTGTTTTTTTCTCTCTTATATTAAAAAGCAAAATGTCAGCTTTATATTCTTAAAGTCTCCTTTCCTGATTTGGGGAGATAGGTGTGTTTCTAAGGCGGCTGCTCCGGACATCCAACAGAGAGGTCACGGCGCAGCAGCTCAATGCCCTGAAAGTGAACAAGAAACAAAGTCCAGTGCAGAAACTGTCCGTCTGATGCAGTTTGGAGAATCTGTGGCAGAGCAGCTGGGGCAGGGGATGGGCACCGTGGGTAGAGGGCACAGAGGAATGGAGAAGAAGGGCTGGGGTGGGGGACAGGAGGTCAAGCCACTTGGGAGCTCAGTTACCTGAGCCTTTCACAACATCAGCTTCTCCCAATCTGCACACCTAAAAACGGAGTCCTTAAAGCCCCTGCCCGAGAAAGGTGAAACTTATCCCACTTTCCCAGTCGCTCGGCTTTCCTGACACACCCAGTTCAATGAACACGCGCCCATGAGCAGACGCGCATACATGCACCAGGGTAGTGTGTATGTGCATGCATGTGCAGAGTTTCTCTAGTTGTGCATATGAGCACGGAACCTCCCCACACCCTACACCCATGGCATGTGTGTTTGAACACGCGGTGCCACGTGTGTGGGTGTGGACACACAAGCACACACACACTGAAAAAAAGCACTTAAGTTTCCAGGGGGGGCATTTACAATGAGGTTCCACAGTGTTTAGAACTTAAATTTCTTTTCTTTGTTTGTGACAGTGTTGTGTGTTGTGTTTTTTCCCTAATGTTCTTTTCTTTTTGTCTTATTTACTTGTTTTTATCTCTTTTTTTTTCAAAGTAAATTCTTAAAGCATGTTGGATTTCAGAAACATGAGCTTGTTCATGTCTTCTGGACTGAGCAGTCGCCTTCTTTTGATCAGAAGTGCTTGTTCACACATATTTACACACCCGCTTCGGGCCCCCACAGCCGGAACTGCCAGGAGCCAGAAGGCAAGCTTGGCCAGTTTCGTGTGCTTTTGGGTCACGCATGACCAGTACTGGAAGAGATCAGGGGTGGCCTGGAAGAGTGGTTCTTGCAGGTAATCATATACTTCATTCTTGCCCAACCGGTCATCTTCCTGAGCCGTGGGGTGTTCGCCTGCGGCTGAGCGGGCCTTCTTGGCTGCAGGTTCAAAGTCAGCCTCCTCAGCCCAGGACTCTTTGACCTCGTTGATAAGCTCGCACACCTTGCTAATGATCTCTTCATGCTGGTAGGGGGGCACTGGTCGCAGCTTCTGCTGTGGATCCAAGATCATTGCCACCTTGTGGGCTGGGTGTACCTTGAAGTTCTCCTTGAGTGCCTCCAGGAAGAGGTGGCACAGTTTGCTGACAGTGCCTGCGTCGTTGGCCTTGGCCGTGAACAGCTTCTCCAGTCGGACATAGGTGGGCAGCACGAGCTGCAGGGTGGGCTGGCTCTCATTGCTCAGCTCGATGACCGCCTGCTTCACGGGGGTCAGGATGGCGGCCAGGTTGCTCAGCAGGTGCTTGTTGAGGCTCTGGATGAGGTTCATCTTCTTGGCACGGCTGTAGAACTCGCAGATCTGCTCGTAGCGCTCATGAACCAGTAGCAACGAGTCCGTCACTGAGTCCCAGCAGGGTGGTGGTGATGTCTCCTCCAGCGACCCAAAGGTCTCCTTGGCCAGCCCCGTGGAGCCTGCCAGGTCCTCGCACACATTGAGCAATTCGATGACCTCGTGCATGCTGCGGGCCTGTAGTGTCCGCTTGCTCAGCACGCTCTGCACCACTGAGTTCAAGGCACAGGCTGAGCAGCGAAGGCACATGCCAGCCTTAGAGAAGGCGGATGCGCTCACCCGGCAGTCCGTGACGTACACCGTCCGGATCTCTGACATCACAAACTCTGACAGGACATTCTGCACCCAGTGGTGAACCAGGTCCCCGCTGTCTCGAATGTCTGCGCCCTTCACACCCAGCACATAGCTCTTAATGTGGTTGCCCTCGGCCTGGTAGGCTGTCAGGATATAGCAGGAGTCAGGGCCCACACTCTGCGAGTGGCAGGTGACGCCAATGCCCAGGCAGGCATTGCTACCCAGGGCACACGTCACCTTCACCTTCACCTGGTTGTACATGCGTGGCAGGTGCTTCAGTGCTAGCGTGTTAAAGTTTCCCAGGATTTCAGTGACGGAGAAAGCCCCATAGCGGGCACCACTGTCTACCAATGTTTGGGCCAACTTGAGGAACTCTTTCCCGCTGACCACGCTCAGTGCACCCAGGTCTGCGCACATGACCCGCAGCAGTCGCTCTGCGATGTTCTGCCGCTCCTTCTCGGGGATTATGCTGTTGGGTGTCAAACCACTAGTTGTGGCTGGCAGGGGACACAAAGAGAGATGGGATTATTTCAGGCATTCAAAGCTGCTTGGCTTGGCAGCAGCATAGCACTCTAATATTAGTAATAACAAATAGATTTCCCCTTGTATACAAATTGTGTGGGTTGCTTTAAACACATGACAGGGATAAAATTCTATGATTGATTAGTAATGCCTACCATGGGCATGAGACTAGTAGATAGTGGTCTATGTGCAACATGTCATTCACCTAGACCTTTGAAGACAAGAGTTTCATCTCACCCCTTTCTCAATACAGGAATCACCATCAAAATAGGAATTGTTAGCAAATAAAATAATATGGGGGAAATATCAGAATAAAGCTAACAAAAATTGTGGAAATGTGGGTTCTAGTTGTGAATCTGGCACTAAGTGGTGCCCTTTGGCACCCTTCCCCCAACCACATACCTTTTCTCCCTGACCTTTCACCTACTCATGAGTTAGGAATTCCTTTAGTCAAGGACGAAGTGAGTATGCTCTGGAGCTGTATGCATCTCCCTCAGTACTGCATGGGTGGTGGGGATGGGGGACAGGGCTCAGCCACAGCAAGGCCACAGGACCCCCTCAGTGCTGTAGGAAGCATGGGTGCTGGGGATGGGGGACAGGGCTCAGTCACAGCAAGGCCACAGGACCCCTCAGTACTGCAGGAAGCACAGGTGATAGGAGTGGGGGATGGGGCTCAGCCACAGCAAGGCCCTGAGCCCCAGCCTGCTGTGGAGACCTACTATTGTTAGCGCTGTTCCTCTGGGCCTGAGGTTTCCACTTCTCTTCCACTGCAGCGGGTGGAGATCGGGACTGGTTGGAGGCAATGTTGTTTTCATTGTCAGCTGTGGGCACAAAGGGAACAATGGGTCACCTCGACAGGTAAGAGAAGGCTGATGAACAAGGTGAGAACCAGAGCACGTGTATGTGTGTGCATCTGTGTGTGTACAGGGGGTGGGGAGCAGTATATGGCCTTAGGGACCCAGTCCTGGATGTGTGTGTCTATGTGTCTGTACATGGGAGGACAGGGAACACTATGTGGTCTTAGGGACCCAGCTCCTCCTTAGGACAATCATCTGTGCCTACAAAGCTGTATCTTCATGGCCTAGGAAATGAGGATGATGGCATGGCCACCATGCAACTGTGGGAAGGACAATGGAAACAACAGGGAAGATATGAAAAAGCCTAGGACCTGGAGCTCTCAGCCAGAAGGAACCTGAGGCCAGCCAGGCACCCCGTTGCCCCCCACAGTCACAGACACAGGGCATAGCTTTGAAGTGTGTGTACACCAGTTACATTCCAAGGGCTCCAAAGGGTCTCACAATCTCTCAGTTCTTTAAAGCATGCTTTTTTGGGGGTTTTCCTGTGTATTTATGACTGCATTAAATGAATAGTTGTATTTAATTCTGCTAAATGGAAACCCAATCCGTACCTACCTGACATGAAGCACAGTCTTCCAAACCCTTCCCTGGATGTGGAAATTTAGGTCCATATTTGGAACAGCATTGCTCTAGACCACACACAGAGTGGTAGCAGGACTGAGATGGGGCATTTCAATGCATGAATACTTGGGCAGAGTACTAGGTCTGTGGAACCAAAGGCTGCTCCACACCTGCCCTAACATCTTAAGAGTGATTCTTAAAAGAATAAAGGTAGGGCTGGGGAGATGGCTCAGTGGTTAAGAGCACTTGGTGCTCTTCCCAAGGACCCAAGTTCAGTTCCCAGCACCCACATCAGGGAGCTCACAAGCATCTGTCACACTAGCTCCAGGGAATCTGAAACCTTCTAATGATCTCTGAAGGCACTGGAACAGAGGTGGGATACACACACACAAACACACACACACACACACACACACACACACGCACACAGTCTTTTAAAAGTATAAAGACTTTTTATGCTTTTGTAAAGTATAAAGGTAATCCCTTGGCATAGACAATCAAGTCTTCCAAAAAATACAGCGGCACCCAGCACCCAAGGATGCACAACTCCAAGTACCCAATAATAGCAAAATATGATCTGCAATCAGGAGAAAAACCAACCAATGGAAACAGACCTGGGTATGACAGAAAGGATGGAATTAGCTAATCAGGCCTTAAGAATATATATATTCAAAGACATGATCACAAGAAGGAAATGGAAAATGAAAAAAAAAATCTCATCAGAACTAAGCATCAGGCATCAAAACCAAAAGCCAATCAAGTGACATATAGTTAACAAGCTAAAAATGTATATAGGGCCAGTGAGTAAAGGTGCTTGCTACCCAGCCTGATGAGCTGTGTTCAGTTCCCAAGACCCGCAAGGTGGAAGGCGAAAACTGAATCCGGAAAGCTGTCCTCTGACCTCCATACTTGCACACTTCCTCCTTCCCACGATAAATAAATATGATAAAAATGTGTATGAAAAGTACAGCAGATAAAGTAGATTATATGTCATGGAGAGAAGGCCACTGAGCTTGAAGACAGAGTCAACTATTCACCTGAAAAACAGGTTTTATAAAAGGCTGGGAAAAAAATCCAAGCCCAACAGCACATAGACAGTATTGAATATTTTAATATACATACATACAAATATAAAATGAGGATCTGAGAAAAAGAGAATGGAAGAAAAAGAATATTTGAAGAACTGGTCAAAATTTTTCTTAACTACATGAAAAATAAAAACCTAGATTCAAAAAGCTCAGTGTCAGGCCAGGCATGGTGGTGCACACCTTTAATCTCAGAACTCAGGAGGCACATCATGCACGGCTGAGAGAAGCCAAGAACGACAACAGACTTCTTATCAAGAACAATGGAACTCCAAAGGGCAAGGGAAGAAAGAGCTAATGGGAATGTCCACAGAGTGGCCAATATCCAGCAATAACTTTTTTCACAAATGAAGAGGAAATACACTTTTAGGACAAAACATCAGAGTTATATTATGAGGAAATACCATTAGGTGATGTCCTTTAGGTCTAAGGGGGGAAAAAGGCATCAAATAAAAGTCGGGGCCTACAAGAAGAAAGACAGAGTGTCAGGAACCCAACATGTATGGATAAACCCAAACATCACCTCTCATTTTCAATCTCTTAGAAAAAAAAGTGACTGATCACTGGAAAATGCTAACAATGAACTCTGGCAATTATAAGAAAAGCCAATTGTACACACACAGCGGAGTAAAGGTGGGAATGGAAGATTGTATGGAAAGGTTCTCACACAGTATGGAAAGTAGAATAACAGCACTTAAAAATACACTGTTGTGCTGGATGGCTTAAGTGGCCAACTTGACACACCCAGGAAGAGGGAACATCAACTGAGGAATTTCTCCATGTTTGTGGGGGCATTTTCTTGACTGCTGAGTGATGTGGGAGGGCCCAGCCCACTGTGGGTGGTGCCACCCCTGAGCAGGCAGTCCTGGGTTGTATAAGAAAGCAGGTTGAACACAGGCCAGGGAAATACGACAGGAAGCAGTGCTCTCCCATGGTCTGTGTCTCAGCTTCTGTCTCCAGGTTCCTGCCCTGATATCTCTCAGTGATAAACTGTGACCTGGGACATGTAAGATAAAATAACTCTTTTTCTCACTAGATGGATTTTGGTCAGAGTTTTATCACAGCAATAGAGAAGCAAACTGGAACAACTGTGATCAGTTCAAAACATGTAGCTTAAAACCCAGATAAATCATAAAAACCAAAAACTATAACTAATAAGTCAAATTTTAGAGATAAAAATTTAAATTCAAAATAAGATAGGAAAAGGAGATAAAAGAACAGGAGAGATAAACAGCACACAAGTGAAAGGGGTAGACTGATACCAAACAACACGGAAATTACATTAAATACAAATGTCTCAAAATTCCATAGAAAAGGCAGAGGTGTATATTTTAAAAATACCCAACAATACATCATGTGTAAGAAATATGCTTAAACATAGAGAGAAATAAATGAAACTTAAAAGGCTGAATAAAGACATACCTGACAAACTAAATAAAGGAAAGCTGCACAGGGGTGATATGTTATACTAGAAAATTAAACCTCAGAATACACATGGCCAGCAATAACAAAGGAATCTGTATGACTCTAAAGGTCAAATCACCAAGAATATATGATGAACCTAAAAGAATTATCTAGTTTTAAACACACGAGGCAGAAACTGAGAGAATTGACAAAAAAAAAAAAAAAAAAAGACAAATAGCAATTATGACTAGAGATCCAACTAATTTCTCTCTCAGCAACTGTTATGGAGAAAAGGGGGGGGACTGAACATAAATGAACAGAGAGTGCTCACCTAGCATGCACCAAACTCTGGTTTGATCCTAGCACCCCTTAAACCAGTGTGGCAGCCCCTGCCTATCATCTCAGCCTTTGGGAGGTGGTGGCAGGAAGACCAGAAATTCAAGGTCATTATCTTAGCTAAGCCAGCCTGGGCTACGTAAGCCCTTGTGTCAAAACTAACCAACCAACCAAACTGGAATGGAAGAGGTTATTTTTACCACTGCAGATGACATAATTATGTATACAGAAAATCCTTTATAATGGAAACAGACACAAAACTATTAGAATCAGTAAATTCAGCAAAACTATATTCAGGACATAAGATAAAGAATGTAAAAATTCATTTTATTTTCAACAGTAGTAAAACACAAAAAAATCAGTTGAGAAAACAAGTCTAATAGCTTCTAAAACAAAATATTTAGGCTTGAATTTATAAAAGAAGGGCAAGGCTCACACACTGAAAACTAAAAATATTGCTGAAAAAGTTTCAAAGACTTTAAATGGAAAAGCTATCCCATGTGCATAGATTTAAACACCCAACCTGCTTTAGAGTCAACACAATTCTTATCAAAATCTTTGACATCTCTTCTTTTCCCACTCCCCTCCTCTTCCTTCCTCTTTGTTCTCCCCCCCTCCTTCCCTCTCTCTTAAAAAAAGAAACAGAAATAGACACGCTGACCCTAAGTCATACAGAAATGCAAGCAATGCAGAATTGAGACAATCTTAGATCAAAGTCAGAGGGCTCACAGCCTCCTGATTTCAAAAATTACCTAAAAATACTACAAATAACATGCTATGGCACAAATGGAGGAACACACATCGACAGAACATGACTGTAAACACAGGAAAAGGCACGCGCCTTCGTGGCTAACTGGTTTGTGACAAGGGTACCCAGCCTAACTTTAGGGACTAGTGTCCTCAACTAAGGGTGCTGGGGCAAAAGGACACCACAACAAAAGAGTGAAACCAGTCTCTTGCCTCAGTCCACAAACAAAACAAGACAGAAGGCAGAGCGAAATGTAAGAGACACAACTGTAAAAGCGGTATCTGTCCTAGTGGAAACTGGTGCATTTAAAAATAACTGTTTTTAAATGTTTACTTTTATCAGCCTCTGATCCCGGAAGAAGCAGCACAGGAGGCAGAGGCAGGCAGATCGCTGTAAGTTCCAGGCCACCTGGGGCGTATGGGAAGAAGGAGGACGGCGGGGAAGCATGCTCCTTCCTAAAGGCTAAAGACTGTGGCAGCCCTGCCGCCCCAGGTGCAGTGAGAAGACGGCTAACTTATTTGTGCAAATTTGTTTTCATAGTTCTTTTTATATTTTCATAAACTTACTTTTTCAGATAGAAAATTAGAGCATTTTGTTCGTTCCTTGGAGTCTTTTCCATTGTGCATCACGACAGACTTCACTTTATAGCACCATTTTTAAGTTGAGAAGACATGAAGAGCACAGCAAGCTGAGGTGCTTGCTCTTATAAACCCAGTGTCAGTAGTTTCAATCACACAAAAGTGTCAGTTCAGCACATAATAAGATGTAAAGTTTTTTTTTACATATAAAGCAATTTTTTCTAATTAAAATGCACACGTGTAAAAATCAAG